TATGACTTACTTGTAAATATTTTCAGTGGTCTAGTGAAGAGGCGATGAGGATACTGGGCAGTATATTACTTCTTTTTGTTGTTCAATTTGTAGGTAAGGTTTATTCCAAAAATTACAGAAAATGATCAAACTTGAATTTCCTCTGAAATAAATGAAAAAGGCAAAATCGTCGTTCTAGCCGTCACGGGTCAAGATGAAACTGTGTCCGACGTTTTCGACGTTCCACCCCATACCACGGAAAATCGCGACGTCGTTGGTCCGAGCGATTTCCTCGGGAGGACCGAAGAAATCAACGAAGGGTTTGTCTGACTCATTTTCTTTCATCACATTTTCTTAGTGGTTTTTGTTTCTAAGCAAGAAAGCGATCGAGATTCCAAAGAGATTTTTACAGCTCTGACAGTTTCGCTATAAGTACGGCAATGGTAGAACCGTTAACTGAAGCGACAGCAGTTACAACAAAGAAACCCGATGTAAGTGAATCGATTTTCTTCCTTAAAAAATGTTGGACTTTAACGGTATACTCTGAACAGTAGAACACTCCGAACAGAAAACATTTAATGTTAATAAGTTACGTCTAGGAATTCCTCTGAGAAGGAATTTAATGGTTTCTCAGTCTCAAGGCATGCAGGTTTCTTACCTGGTAGGTGGATCTTTCGCGTGTGATGGGCAGATCCGCAACAGTGAAAATACTGCATTCCCTCCACACAAAGCCAGGCGCTTATAGCAGCTTTATGGTCCTCATGCCTAGGGCACGTCGTGCGCTAGGGATCCCTCGCGAGGAGAGCTGGTTTAGTCGCTAGGGGTGCGGGGTACATTGGCGTTTAAGTAAAATGGTTTTGTTGTTGAATTTGCTCAGATTTTCCTCTTTTATGCACGTATGTACCGACCCTGCCCCTTTTTCGGCGGCAGTTTTCAAGAGAAAAATACGGAAAGTACAATAGGCATTCTGGGGAAAGTCTGCTAAAATGGTAGGCAGCTGCGTTTAGACATCGCTATGGCGCGCCTCGACGCGCAGTATCGCGCTGTAACGCGAATTGGGACAATTTAGGAAGTTGGTATGCAGAGTGAGGGATGAGGGGGGAGGTCGCAGAGGAAGCTTTGAAGAGATGGGTTGTGTTTTGCAGAATTTTCTCCCCAACGGCAGGATCGGTCCTGCTCATGTCTCCACTTCATTTCTACGTTTGCTCCAGCTACGCCACGGCGTAGGATCCATTGAGGAGTTGTGTGACTATAGTCTGGTCCATGGCTGGGTACCGTGAAGAGGTAGGTGCTATCGTGGAAAGTGGCCCCCACTTACAGATAGGTGAAACAACTTGTTAGATGTAAAACTTGTTAGATGAAACATAGCCGCCCGCAGTTAACAGGAGGGGGAAGCGGCTAGCGGCGACTATCTGAGCTGGTTCGGTTACCATTTGGAACTTGGCTTGTGCTTGGCAGCGACGCGCTTTACATTAGAAAAATCGGAGATTTCGCGATTTGTCCACCACCGCTTGTTGGCTCTTCGATAGCCAATAGATTACAATATTACGACGATTTCCGGCTTATTTATTGGCCAATTTCACAGCAGGCATGAAAGTTTTTTTCAGTCTCAGGGGTCCAGTTTAAAGCTCCGTGCATTCTACAACGACAGTGCTATAGTGGCTGGTGGTACGCCTACTGAGCCTGCGCCGTGGGGGGTTAAATTTTCAATATTGTCTCCGACCAGGTTAGAGCCTGCTACGGGCTCAGGAAGCTGGGTTCTCGAGGCACTCGACCGCGTGACGCAATTAATTGTGAACCGGTCCTTGGAAGGTACACTACAGGCTCATTGTAGCGTAGGGAATCCAGGGCTACTAATCGCTTGCCTTCGATTCTTTTTTCCTGAAGCGTATAGAAAGACGCTTCTGTGAGGAGGTGACAGTTGTGGGCCCGGCTCCGCCCATCAATAGTTGGGAGCGTAATTTTTTTTTCAATCCATTAGAGATCATTTTACAGAGTAGTCCTTCAGACAGCCTTACAGCATGACTAAGCCTTGTGACCGTCGCGCTACAGAGTTCGCTCGCAACGTGAGAGATCATGTGCCAGCAGAGCCGTTGAGGTCATTCGCCCGGTGTGCTATTCTACCCCTACTGAATGTACTTTATGTTTCTATAAACACACAGTTCGGCTTGGTGGGTGCATCAACTGGTACTTAGTTTACAAGTTCAAACCACTTCGCAAGGAACTGTTGACTACTGTAGCTGAGGCGGCTCACATCACTTTGCCACTTCACAGGATATTACAAGTCTAACGAAAGTGTAATCTGTTGATTCGCATGAACTTGTAGGAGAATCTAGGGAATGTGCAAAGTGCCCCTACCAAGCCGCACAGTGCTAAAGTGCAACAAAATATAAAAGAGACTGTATTCATTACCTAGCTTGAATCTCGCTCTATGATTTTTGAATGATCTGTATTAACAATCCCATCGGTAATCACACCATACTTTACTGGAGGCTACTTTAGGACATTACGGCTCCAAGAATGTTGCCACTATTTCTGCCCTTCCGCAACAAAGGGATAAATTATGGCGATTTAAAATATGTGAAAAGCCTTCTGCCACTTACAACCACGGTATTCAAATATATCGCTCTCGATAGAAAGCGATTTTTTTCAGTTTAAAATATCAGTGTGTTTACATTGGGCCAATTTCTGATGGAATGTGCCTTCCCTTCCAACCGTACGTCTCATGGTAGGGTTCCTGCGTCTTCGTCTGCCTTCTCTGTTTACAAAATCTGTACTGGAAATTGGATTCTTCGACAGTGTCTGTCGACGACCTTTCATGTCAGGTCGTTACAAAGCGACATCGAGTCGACAGCGATTTATGAGCGAGTTTCTACGTTGCAAAAGAAATCTCAAAGTGAACACCTCATTGATTCGGCGGAACGGAAATTTTAGCGGGCAGACAAAGACTACGTGTGGGGTGCGATGTTTAGGGTTCGCACACCATTTCATGAAATTGCAGGGTTCGATGTGGAGTCCTTGAGAAAACGGGGTTTTGAAGGCTGCGAGCACCAGCACAGAGATTGCATAAGAAGGGGAGGCTAGGTACCCATGAAGTTCAAGTCCGTTTCAGGACCGGAGGAAGTGAGCTGGTACCGAGGATCAGCTCCAAAAGTAGCCCAAGCCGGGGATGGAGCAGAAGCCTGTGTCTAAGCTGTCTTTGACAATTTTCTGGCACTTCCAGAGCGCTTCTGCATA